TGGAACTTGGTGTATTTTCATTCATATGTTTAATTCCTTCTTTTATTATGTTTTTTCTTTGAAAATATTTTCTAGTTTTCTCTCCATTTTTTCCTCTGTAGCCTTTTAGTTCTTGGAGTCATTTCTTCAACTGATAAAAGTTTTTTCTGTTCTCTTCGTTTTCTGTATCGTTGTCGTTCTTTTTCTTTTTCAAGGGGTCAGCTTTGATTTTAGCGTATCGATTCCGGCGTGCGATTCTGGCTTTAGCCAATGTTTCCTCCTTAAATTGCTGTTTTTTTCGAGGCATGCATCCTTTGGGATAATAATACGTACGTGGAAAAAAATTAACCCTGCGACTGTGTGAACAAATGGTAGTGAGTATAAAGTGTTGGGACAATTTTCAAAGTCATTACAAATTACTTAAAAGTTTTCTTTAATGTGTATAGTTTTGCTAATTAATAAAGCATGTAGTGTACTCTCTAAATTACTACAAAAAAATACGATCTTTAGGGTATATTTATAACTTTTCGAGCATGAAATGCTAAATTTTGGAAATTGGGACACACATGGTGATGAGATTTGAGGAACGTTTATGAATATAACTTAGTTGTTTATTACAATAGGAATATGTTATGTACATCTATATTAAGTGCTGGAACTATATATTACGTGAAATAAAAAAAATATAACTTTATATCTCATTAAGTAGTTATTTGGGGAGGGCCGCGTAATATGCACATGTTCAAAGAATCACCCACATAGTCCCAATAATCTCTGAAGAGGTGTCTACTGATAAACTTAAAGAATTTCTCCCCAAGAATCAGATCGGAAAGTTGTATTATTGAGCAAGAACCTTTGGAGAAAACTTTACTGCCATGGACAGTTTCCCCGGAATTTCTTTTTTTAACATAACGTTAATCAACTATAAATAGGTAGATGAGGTAGATATTTAATTAATATGTATACTTTATGTTTTATAAAATGTTTTACTGCTGAATTTCTTTTAATAACTGGCTTTACGGCTCTGGGTTTACAGTACACTGCTTCATAATATGTTGATGCGTCACATTGTGCAGCTCTTGGAAGATTTTGACGGCAACTTGAGCCAGCAGACAGCTGACAGGTGGCGATTGTATCTCAAGGCGCCTAAGCACAGTCCCCTTATCTTAAGAATCACATCACCATCAGAGCACTTGTTACACCGTTTCCACTAATAGTTCACATACGCAGACACTTTGTTCACGCCCAAACGCTGGTTTCGGGATTTGACTCCGGAGGGCGCTCGGCTCGGTGCCATACCGGTTGTGACGTTCGGGCGAACCGAGTGGCTTTGGTAGAGGGTGCGAGCGCAGAAAGTCAGTTGCTTGAATGCAGTGCGGTCGATCGCACGTCGTGAAGTCGCTCAGATAACCTCCATTTTTTATAGTCGGTTTTGTTAGCAAATTGTGCAACGACGAGGAATTGTAGTCTAGAATTAGACGCCGGGTTGACAAATTGTTAGGAAGTTAACATTGATTGAGATCAACGTCTGAATTTGTATGTGGTGCATGCCTAATTTACCGTGAATTTGGTTATCCTAATTTGATAGCGTATATAAGTGCATTTGACAATATTAATTTGCTTACTCTGAACGGACTAGGGCAGCGTGGCGCCGAATTTGGTTAAAGAATTTGTGCAGTGAAGAATAAGCGTGTACTCTAGAATCTTAGTTGCTAGGTTGTCTAATTATGTAGAAGTTAGTATTTAATTGTACAGTAGCGTTATTGTCAAGCACATTAAAGAGTCACGTTTTGTTTTAGAAACAATATGTTACGGGGTGAGTTAAGGTGAACTTTGACCTACGAGTCGTACTGCGTGTTATGCTTTATAATAAACGGGAGTTAGTTGCGTCTTGAAGTTAGTTAATTGTACGATAAAGTTAATAGACTGACATAGTGAAGAAGAAAGAAATTGACCGTGGGTGACGCCGCTGCAGATTACCACATTTGGAGCGGTGCCGAAGTCCGGGCTGCTGCCGAACTCAAAGGTCCAGTTAAGTCTATCACAACCCACACCACAAAACCACCACCACACTCAACACATACACACCTCCGGCCTGACCGAGCCCTGAGACTGTCGTCGGCTCAGATACAGGTAAGTATTCTCTTTTCCACTAGCCTTCCCCTTAAAGTGTAGTAGGATAGAACATTTCCATAAGGCCATTTGGGCACGAACCCTCTGTTGCTCATCGAGGGGATCACTCATGGGCCCGAGTCCAGTCGACTTTTGTTGGGGCAACTGAGGGCCGTAACACACTTAATACACAAAATCGCACCACTTTTACATACCAAAATCTACTTCAAACCATTAATTAAACAATAATACAGTAGCAGCAATCCGCCGCCGGTCAAGTACCCGTCAAAACTCCTTGATGTTGAAATAAAAAACGGGGACAGGGAGTACATAATGACTGCTTTATTTTTAATTTTAACTAAATTACTTTTAATAATTACAAACATTTAATAAAAAAAATTAAATACATTGTAGAAATTAATTTTAACATTCGACTTAAATTGAATTTAAACTTAATAATTTAAGTAAGGAACTTGTAGGAATCAGTTAAATAAGATTAATCTGTTTAAAGGCCAAAATGTTTATGAGGCTACTATGTCTTTGATCTGTCCCTGAAAAATAATAACCTTATTATTAATTTAATGCATGAATTTAAAAACATAATGATCTTACACAGACTAGCCAAATACGCAGGAGCTATTAAAGTGTACCAGGCGCCTGAGGATTTAGATGAACTCTCTATTCTCGCAATCTCGGTATGTTAAGAAAATGGTCGCCCATCCATGGACTGACTGCGGCATGTTCGGCTTAATCTCGCAGATCTATTGATCTGAGCAACTGTTAATTAACCACGATTTCCTCTTCTCTACGACTAACACTGTAGGCTTTGAACCACGCTGTCAAGCCCCACACAGTCATCGGGCATCAAGCATAAATCGGGCATCCGGAGTTGTGAGTATCAAATACTATGGAATTTATACTATCCTGGCACACTAAACCACGCGTCTTGTGCGGATATCTAGCGGCGCTTCAGTAACATTGCAAAATATCTATACCTCATTACACTAAAAGTTTTATCATATTTATTGTTTAAATAGGATAATCTCAACATTTTTAATATACTACTGTTTTAAAATGTATAAAAATATATCTCTATTTTTACCTAAAATTTTCGAAGTTAAATTTTTGAAGTCTTACTATAACAATATAATACTAACTGGTACAATTAATGTAGGAATGGCTCCTTTTAATTAAATTGTTTTTATTCTGCTTTTCCTTTTATATTTCTCAAGAAAACCTTGGCTGCAAATTGTAGAGTTCTTCTTTAGATTTCATCCAAACAACCCACTCAATTAACCTTATCAATTTTTTAATTCTATCCATATGTTTGACAAACGGGCAAAAAAAAATTACGTTTTTAGAACGCAAATTGAGCATTTATTTTCATTCCTCTCCTTGTGTGTGCAAGTCTATCTAATAAACATTCGAGATAAATAATAATAATATCGACATTAATTTTGATATAGGTGAGTTAATCCCTAGCGCATATGTAAAATATTTTGTTTTAATATGAATACACCAAAATCATACAAATTACCACAACGTGACTTTTTTCGTTGTAGAATATCAAAATTAATACAATAATTGAAAATATTCTATATTATGAACAGTATATAACATACATTTTAATCTAAAATAAACGCGTCATAGCAATAACGACGTCTTGAGAAATTACCTCTGAAATATGCAACCAGCAGGATTATTCCTATTATTGACACCATAATCACTCACGGAACATATAAGCATTTTGGAAAACTATTACTTATAAACAGAGGAGCTTATTTCTTGCGTGCCGACCTGTCATTTAAAATCAGTTATAGAGTCATGAGATTTGGTATCCTTTTCTATTTTGCACTTTTACCATAAAGGAATTTTCCTTTGTACACCATGTCTATTCGCTAGTATATTCTAAGTCTATGGTCGGACTATACGCCAGTATATTCTAATTCTACGTCTATGCAGTTTACGTACAATGGCAAAAGTACTAATCCACTTACTACGACTTTATTCTTACGAAAAAACCGATTGAAATTGAAATATCACTGTCAAATTATGAAAAGGGAGTTTTAGCGGGAACTTGACCGGCGGTGGTTTACTGCTCCTATATTATAGTTTAAATAATAGTTTGAAGTGGATTTTGATATGTAAAAGTGATGCAATTTTATGTATTAACTGTCTACGCATGTGAACTATTAGTGGAAACGGTGAAACAAGTGCTCAGATGGTGATGGATTCTCAAGATAAGCTTTTTGTCTGCATAGGCACTTTTAGATACCATCGCCAACTATTAGCTGTCTAATGGCTCAAGTTGCCGTCAAAATCTCCCAAGGGCTGCACAATTTGACGCATCAACATATTGTGAAGCAGTGAACTATGAAGGATAATATAAAAAAGACAAGGCTGTATGGCTTAGTTCCTTTGCCTGCCCTCTCGAGCGAATAATAAAAACAACAACAACAAATTATGAAAACATTTGGCGCGGGCGCGGGCACAGAATACTTTACTCCTAGCGGAGAGGCGCGGGGCAAATTGATAATTTTAGTGAGCACAAAATTTAATTTGAATCAAGCATTTAATTAAATTTTAATGTAAATCGCGGTTAATGATTTTTATTACTTAAATTAAAGATAATCTGTTGAAGAGTTGCGGAACCGTTTCAGCTAGTACATGTACCTAACTAAATATTTCCGTATACTAGATGATGTATTGATTTTTCTTCAGAGGTGGCAGATGGCAGTGTTTACATAGTTTTTGGAACTGTAAAGATTTTCAAGTCAACTCAACATTTGTACAACATCTGTGATTCACTTTCTGTCTCTAAAATATTAAACCTTTTATTATGAGGCTAATGATATGAGACTGATACATCAGAATAATATTCAAAAATGTTTTAGAGAGCTGTTGCTGTTATGGCTAAACAAATAGCAGAAGTTGAAGTCCATGCCTCTGAGGCCGAAGATATGTTACAAGATGACAATCTTGATGTCAGTGTGGATCTTATTGATGATAACCTATACTTAGGTAGGCATCATTAAATTGAACAAAAAATCTTAATTTCTTAATAACAAATGAACCATGAGTTTTCATAACTAAGAAAAACAGAATAAAGAAATTTAAAATGTTATTATCTTTTCAAAAGTTTTACATTGATATTATTTAATTTCAATACAACGTCGATAAGTATGGACTACATGGACTTTCATGTAAGAAAAGTGCTGGTAGGTTTTTACGCCACGGTTCTTTGAACGATGTGATCTGAAGGGCTCTTGTCTCTATAAATGTTCCCTTGGTTTTAGAGCCTTTTGAAATATTTAGATATGATGGCAAGAGACCCGACGGTATGACAATGGTCCTTTTAGAGAGAGGTAAAGTCCTACTTGCGTAGACACTCTGGTGGCCTCTCATCTCAGGGGTAGCTTGTTTAGAGCTGGGGCGGCATCAGAGGCAGCTGAACTGAGTAAGTGGTGCAAATATGAGTCTTTGAGAGATGACTACATATTTGTGCTATTTGCTGTAGAGACTATCGGTCTGTGGATTCCACATGCGGTGAAGTTCCTAAAGGTACTCCATCCGCGGCTGGTCATTGCTGCTGGTGATAAGAGGGTTGGTTCTTTTCTTGCTCAAAGGCTAAGTATAGCCATTCAGCAGGGAAACACAGCCAGTGTTCTTGGCACGATACCGCGGGGAGTAGAACTGTATGATAATTAAGTTACTAGTTTTAGTTTTTTTTTATTATAGTTTTTAATATTGTATATAATAAAATATTGTATGTTTCAATATCTTTTCAAGGAATTTGTGGGTTAATTATCACAATACCAATGTCGAATAGCAGCTTAATGCTGCCCTGTTTCATATGGTGAGCGTATAGAAGACCCATTTGTACTTTTAATGAGGCATTCTATCTTTAGTGACAAGGCATGTACATTATCATTCTTAATTCAGGATAAATGTAGGTGTATATGGGCCATGATATTCACTACCAAGACTGTCACATGCTATAAAAAAAATTGCAAATTTATTGTAATTTTACAATTGTTTCATTATTTTTCAGGTAATTTAGCATGTGCTCGTGATGAGAAGTCCTTACAAAAGTTGAAAATAACCCATGTTTTGACTATAGATTTAGTACCATTGCCAAGGACTATATTGGATCGTGGCAACCTAACATTTAAGTTTATAAAATGTAAGTGATATCAAATAATATTTTAATATAGTATATTGAATTAATGACATTAATAAATATTTTTTGAGAACCAACATACTGAAGACTAGCACCTCGCCCTGGCTTTGCTTGGACAAGATCTATTGTGGCTTTATTTGGGTACAAGATAATGAAAGTATTAATTTTACCAATTTTTCATTTCTTCTTTCTAAAATATAGTCTAGATCACTCCCAGCATTGCTCTTTCGTTTTCTGCAACTCCACGTCAAAGCATGTAGTTTGCGTGTGGGCAGGAATAATGTAATTATTCAAGCCATGAAATCTCCCCGAAGAAGTTCAACAGTCCTTTGATGTTGCAAGCAATTTTGGGAGTGATCCCGGCGTGCCGAGATGTTTAGCGCTGTATGTAGCAACCTCTGAACATGTCCAGACATGACCTGACATGTAAGCAACATGTTGGCCGTCGTTTCTTCCTCCCCCAGACATGCCCTGCACAGGGTACTATCTGTAACACCTATGGTAAATAAATGTTCATGAAGTTTCATTACAATCGATTCATTGACAAAATTTCAAAATTTTTCTCTATGTGTAAAATAATTTTCAGTACGCATAAATACAAATGTACTGTACATGTACAAATGTAAAACATTGGTTGTCAATCGCAACAAAGTAGTCTCAAAACCAAGAATGTATTTATTGTAAATGTTGGTTTCAACTAGGATCAAACCTAGGACCTGAATATAACAACTGCTTAAATCTGGCCATGGGGCCAATATTCATCAGAGTTAAGAGAAAACTTATGTATTTTTTTACATTCTTCCAGTTCTGTTAGTTCTAATTTAAGCCAACTGCAGATCTAGGTGTCAAGAATCTGAGTGTAAAGTGCTCTTGTACTTATCTAAATTATATAATTTTTCATTACAGCATCTATCAAAAGTCCAGTGCAAACATTGGCCTAGATTGCCTTGCCTTAAGGCCTTAAGGCAAGGCTATGTTGCCTATAAGGCTATTTATAGATGGCCTAGATTTTGATTATCCATAGTTGCCTCTCTTGGCTGGTGGAGTGGTAACTATAGTTTTTCATTATTTTAAGTTGTTTTCAGAAAAAAAGGTGTGGTTTTTCATATGTGGTAGAGCCATGCTGCAGCTATATTAGTATAGTTGTAGCGCGAATGGGTCGGCTCGACCGGGAAAGGACCACACTCTCACAGAAAACCAGCGTAAAATAGCAGCTTAACGCGGCTGTGTTTCATATGGTGAGTGTAGAGAACCGGAGACCCTTTTTACTGGCAAAGAGGCATTCTACCTTAGTCCTCACGGGTGACAACGCATCTGCATCTTGAGTCTTGAGTCTGCAAAATATTCCTCAATATGAGTAGAAGTATAGGTTTAATGAATGCCAATAACTGTAATTTAATTGAGTGTGTATTTAAAAGAGAGTGAGTATTTAAAAGTTTAATGCTTATAAAAAAATCTCTAACATAGTTACACAGTTATGACATGGTGACTCATCTATTGTATCTATCATTAACTTATTTAATAATTTGTATTATAGTGGCTGATGTACCAAAAGAAGATCTAATCAGCCATCTGCCAGACAGCAATGAGTTTATCAAAGAAGCCATAGCCAGTGGTGGCACTGTCTTGGTCCATTGGTAATCTATATTTACATTCTTTATGTTATTCTAGTGTAAAAAAAATTATGTCCATTTCATACAAACCACCTGCACAAGTATTGTTATTGTGATAAACTACAACATTTTATATCCAAGAGTCATGGTAGCTCAGGGGACAAATACTTTCTTATAAATTTATAATGGCGTCCTATTCTAGACCAAATTCTATTTACGGCAGCCAGTCTCAATGGAGGCTAGCCATCTACATAGAACAGGATTGTAGTGCCTGAGTGTGTGTGCAAACACAGATGCAATCTTCTTCGCTTTCATATTTCAATGGAACGGCAATCCGACATGACTGGAGAGAAATCAGGCGGATGACCAACAACTTTAGTGCTTTTTGAGGCAAATCGGTGTAACACTGCCAACTTCCTGACTCAGAGCTGCTACTGAGAATTTTTGATAGGACGACCTAGTAACTATTTCAGCTTGACCCGAGATTCGAACCCATGACCTCACGATGCAGACGGCAGTAAATTTTCATAATACGTAAGCAAACCAAGATCGTCTGATTTATTATTCTAGTCATTCCATTGTAGTCCTCAGGGGTGACAGCGTATCTGCATTTAGATTCTTAATCGAGGATAGATGTAGATATTTATGGGTCACAGCATCCCCTTACCATCAGGCGAACTGTGTGCTTGTTTGTCACCTTGGTTTTATAAAAATGAGCATGGTGTTTCCTCGGTCATGCCGACTTACGAGACTACAAAGTAGAAAATCACCACATGACATACCTAACAAAATACATATTAATTTTATATTTTACTTACAGCTATTTTGGCGTATCTCGGTCAGCTGCAGTTGTTATTGCTTATATAATGGAAAAATATGGCTTATGCTATGAGGATGCGTTCACCCTGGTGAAGAACAAACGACGGTTCATAGGTCCTAACCTGGGTTTCGTGGCGCAGTTAAAACTATTCGGCCATATGGGATACCAAATAAACAGAGACGACCCGAGATTCAAGCAGTTTAGGCTGAAAATGGCTGGACAGAAGTTGAAGCAAGGTATATAACATGATTGACAAACGGAACACTACTGCAGTATTTCACCAAAAAAATCGTTGGAATGCATTTAAAATAGATTTTGGTTTTGATGAGGGTTGTTATTCCTCCTGGTGTGCTATCTGGGCTGGTACGACCCTCTTACCTCTTTCTACCGCCAAACAGCAGTGCGCCCTTGCTATGTTCCAATTTGGAAGATAAAGGAGTCAATACAATTATAGCTGTGGGTGATTTTATCTACCTCAGGGGTGATATTACATCTATGGCCTCTGTTTGGAAAAAAAATCAAATTTTCCATAGTCTCTGCCTACCCCTCTATGTGAAGGGCGTGAGATTTTATGTATGTTTTATGTAATAGAATAAGTAACATATAAAAATCCCTATTTTCTTTCAGTTAAAATCATTCCCCAACTTTTCGCTGATCTTATAAAACCTGACCCTGGACTAGTCAGAGAGAGACCAGACCCAATAGTATACCGTTGCAAGAAATGCCGTCGGATTGTCGCAAGCCAAAGCAACATTATACCACATTTACCGAAGCAAGTCAAAGTGGAATTGGCCAAAAAGGGTATACGACCACCACCAAGTAAACTCACCGGATTAAACTGCACTGAAAATGGTCAGCTGCTGATAGAGAAACTTAAGAATCTAGCGTGTCAGATCATGGATCAAACGGATAAGATAGAATGTGAAGAGTCCAGTGATTCAAACAATTCTGCCCAGATAAACAGTATGCAGGATGGTGATGAAGGTACCAGTCAGGTAATTTTTCTATCGACTTCAAAAAGGAGACGGTACTCAATTCGACAATATGTGTTTTTATGTCTGTAACCTCGTAACTTTTTTCGTCTGATTTCGATGATTCTTTTTTTATTTGAAAGCTGGTGCTTCTTATGTGGTCCCATAAAAATTTGATCAAGGTCTGACCAATAGTTATTGAGTTAATTTGAATAATTTATATTGAAGTTGGTTGTACAAAATTTTTAATTTTAAATTATTTTCATAATTCGCTTCTCATCTGTCACGCTTCTATAAAAAAAATATACCTATAATTTTTATTGCCAGTAACTAAAATGTTTAATCATTTTTAAAACTTATAGGTACTAGATGGCTACAGCGAAGGCAACATGGTGGATGCAAGCATAGTTGCGCGTGTCGATGAGCAATGCTGCCGGCTTGTGTGGTTCGTGGAGCCCATGAGCTGGATGAAAGGTGTCACAAATGAACCGCATGGGAAGCTGCACTGTCCCAAATGTCAGAACAAGATTGGTAGCTTTAGCTGGATTATGGGTATGTAATTTTATTGTTATGTTGATGTTGTCCCCCTGTGGTCAATTTGATCATTATAACAAATTTTGAGTTAAATGAAACTAATTTGCGGATTTAATTGAAACTAATTTTTACGAATTCTATAGCGTTTAATTTAACTTTTTAAATTCCGACGTTTCGGGTGCTTTAGAGTACCCAAGGTCATGGAGGGACTGAGGTGTTTGACGTCCCGATGTTATAGTTATCTCGGCTAAATAAATTAATATTCAAAAACTGAAGGTAGCCGGGCTAACTATGACATCGGCACATCAAACACTTCAGCCCGCCCCCCCCCCCCCCGTGACCATCGCCAATTAAACGCGATAAAATCTGTAAAAATTAATTTCATTTAATGTGTAGTCTTCGCGTAAAGATATGAAATAATTTGCGGCTTTTATCGCGTTTAATTTTATCTTTTAAACTTAACTTTTACTTTTAATAAGTTAAAATTAAATGCGATAAATTTCGTAAAATTAGTTTCATTTAATGTTTAGTATTCGCGTAAATGAAATCATTAATTTTTGAGTAATTTTCTGCCGACTTCCAAAAAGGAGCCGGTACTCAATTCGACTGTATGTTTTTTTTTTTATGTGTGTTACCTCAGAAGTTTTTTCTGGGTGAACCGATTTCGATGATTCTTTTTTTATTTGAAAGCTGGTACTTCTCGTGTGGTCCCATATGAATTTGATCAAGGTCAGACCAATAGTTTTTAAGTTATTCTTAAATAACTTATATTGAAGTCGGCTGTACAAAATTTTTAATTTTAAATTATTTTCATTCATTACAACCCATCAAATGTCCACTGCTAAAAGTAGGCCTTCTGTAAGGCAAATTGGGGAAGACCTATGTTTATCCGTGGACTTTTGAGACACTGTAATTATGATGATGATGAATGATAAACATTTTTAGGTTGCAAGTGTCCATGTGGACAGAAAGTGGCGCCGGCGTTTTATTTGGTGCCGTCGAAAGTGGAGTGGTCCAATATCGTGCAAAATGTACAAATCACAGTTTGAAAATACTACAAAGTATATGGATGAGTAGATTATAAATAAAATGTTTCTCAAACCTGCATTATATTTAATTTCTTTCTTAATTTGCTCACTGTATGTTAATATCTGATAGACGACTGTTCAGAAAGGGTACTGACGTGGGATTTGAGAATGTTATGCCCAAATATACAAACACTACTCAACTTTAAGATGCCGTTAAGTATCGTGCTGTCTCTATCACTTTAAGTCAAAGTGACTGTGACACCATGAGACTTAACGACATCTTTGAATTGCGTAGTGTTTGAGTATTTGGCGATTAGTCTCCGTGACGATTTTATGTTTATGTCATTAGGTGTTCATTAAAGATCGGTTTATGTAATATAATATATAAAATATTATAACGTATTTTTGTCGCAGGCTTTGTTATAACGTAGGTTTTATTTATTTAATCCAATTGTTAATTAGTTTTTGTTACCATGATGGTTCTCTTTCTGAAGATACCTAAATAGTTTAATTTCAGAGTATTAGAACAAATCAGATTAAGTTTTTAAGATTACACTACATATTTCTATAAATTTTAGCAATTTAGAAAGAAAGGAATAAGTTTATTTGGTACATACATAATAACAAAGAAAAATAAATCAAATAAAACAGATTTTTGTATCTTAAGAAAAATATTTAAAAAAAAAGTAATAACGTAATATGCACCAAAATGGTCTCCACTCTTTATCAGCTTAAAGTGATGACCATGTAAATTATTGTACACTTCAAAAAATTATGAATTGTGAAAGGTTGTATTCTGAGGAATTATTTTCAAATACTTTTCTCAAATAACATTTGCAATTTTTCAAATAACACTGAAGTGTGTAATGTACTTATAGTCTACGTGATAGTAAGTGGCTACTGCAGACCATGGTCACTTGCAGCCAAGTTTACACAAAATGGATACAGATACGTTGTCACCTCTGAGGACTAAGATAGAATGCCTCGTAGACTGTGTTTGCTGGCTCCCGAAACAGTAAGAGGGTGCTATATATCCAGACGGACTTTTAGGCAGAAAAAAAAATATCGTTATTTATTGCTTTTCCAAAAAATAAATGTGATCAACCAACCCTGGTGCTTTACTATTTGTAAATTATTGTTTTATGTAAATGCAATTTATTTTTACCTTTCTAAATGACTGTTCTTGGTATTGTTGACTGTTGTGTAAAATGAAACAATAAATTATATTGTAGCATTTATTTAGTTTTTCTTTGGTAACACACAACCTCTAGTATATAGGAAAAAAAATAATTACTTAGAGTATAATTCAATAATTACAATCTTAATTTACTATGTACATGTGTAAAATTATACCTAGATTTATATATACAGTATATTTTTTACTTAGTAGTTTATACACAGACTAGTATAATTATTGTTACTTTGAAACAGATACATCAGTCCTTTGTAAAAAAAAATATGTGGTATCTCGCACCTCTCTATCAGTGATATCTAAAATACATAACTAGGTATATAATAATTTATCTAGATACGTTTTACAATAAAGATCGAGAATTACAGATGCAAGAGACACGCAGTTGTAGTTCCGAGTGCAGTTGGTTCGCTCAACGGGGGGAGCGCTTGCGTATGCGTCTGCTTGCGAACGGGAATCGGTATGGGCGCGGCGTGACGTCACTGATAGAGAGGTACGAGTCACTACTATTCCCTACACTTTTAATTACCTAATCATTGCCACTGTAAGACAATACACGCAATAATGGCAAGGATAATGGACTATAATAATAATAAGGAATATGACCTTATACATTTACATAAAATTCTCCATAATAAGATCGATTCCGATTACCTCTCACGTAAATAAAACTTAACTAAAAAGCGCAATACCCGAATTCCTTGCAAGACATTTTACCTGCAGACTTATAAGAATAATAGTTCTTTTTATAACCCGATAATAAGAATGTGCCGACTTTACAACGAGATATCCATGAAAAGCAGCTCTTTTTGAAAAGCAGATGTTTTTGACCCAAGATCCAGGTTATTCAAAAGAACAGTAAAACAGTTTACACTTATGCACACTCATTTCCATATCACATAGGTTTTAAATTTCTTATTTGTATATTTTATTTTTTGTATACATAAAGTTTGCAAAGTGTAGAGTTGATCTTCTGTATTTATACAGAAACATATTTAGGATAACAATCTGGCACAAAACTGTTACTATATATATATAACAATTTTTGTTCAGATTTGTGCCAGATTGTTTTCGTGCTTGTAGTGTTTTTTGCACCATTGAAATCGGAAGAACCAGTTGTACGTAATGGTATACGAAATTAAGTTCCCCATGACGTCTGTGAAAAGAAATTTCCAATTGTATTTGACATTAAATCCGCAAACATTTTATGGGTATAGGACCTCAAATGATGATAGTAAATAAACTTTATTTACCTCTAAGTTTCGATCATAAATACCCGAACGATCGCCACTCAAAAAACGGCACCATCTAAGGCTTAAAATAAAAAATTGCCTTGTTCCGCTCTAGTCGCTTTATGGCCGCGTTGATGTCACTATGCCTAAGTGTGCCGTTAAAGCGTCCAAAAACAACACTTTAAAAGTGGAAAAAAGAGATGGAGATTCATACTTTCAGTAAGTATCGCGTTGTAGTTAATTTACATTTAATATACAATTATATTTGGCTTCTATATCTAATCGTGTTATTTCCTAAATTTTTGGCTATCTACCAAGCTCGCAGCTATAACTATATATTTCCTACCGACTCTGTTATAAGCTGTTCGGTTAGAACAGAGTCGGTAGGAAAAAACATAGAGTTATCATTGCGTTTAAATTTTCTGTTGATACTCTAATCATAATTATTTTATACTCTTATATATATATATTTAATTATATTCACTTTAGAATGTTCTGTTCATTTTAGTTTTCCGCAAAATGAAATTCGAAAAGAGAAGTAGAGGCGTATTATAGCACGAAACCGACAGGGCGAATTTTACAATCCAAATGATTCAAGTGTGATTTGTTCCAAACATTTTTGTCAAGATGACATGTATCAACAAACAAAGGATTTATGTGAATAAAAAAGACAGCTCTACCATGTTTAAAGGTAAAGTTTAAGGTACCTTAAACAAAAATAACGTGATTTATTGGTTCTAATTCATAGTTCTTCTTCTTCTTTACTTTTTGGCTTCTCTTAAAAGAACTCTGCCAATGTCAAGTCAGTCATGGGAGTGACAACAAGGTAAATAAAATCTTTTTTTTTATAATTTTTTTTAATTTTTTTTTGTGTTTGACTTTTCTAATCTACAACAAAAGACAACACAAACATTTATAATTCAACCACCAACAATGATTAGTTTTATGTTACAACTTAATACTATTAGTATAAATAAAATCACATAAAATATGAACAAATGAGGAGAACACGAGAGACAGCAGACAGGTAGAATTAGTAGGACGAGGGATGTTTAGAGGAAGGATATCATACAAGGAGAACTTGAGTCGAGGACATACGAAAAATATGTGATCGGTTGAACCTTCATCAAGACCACATTCACATAAAGAATTATCGAGAGGGATACCTGTTTGTGTTGCTTTCTTAGCCAAGAAATCAGCACACTCATTACCACGTATCCCAGAATGGCTTGGAATCCAAGCCAAAACAACTTTTAGGCCTTTTTTTGTGACAATGATATAATGCTTTTTAATAAAGAGGATAGGGAAAAGATTTGATTTAGAGTGGAAGGAGCTGGAGATAATAGTTTGGGAGACAGCTAAGAGAGTCAGAGAGAATTAAGGTATTTTCGAGGTTGTGAGATTCGGCATATAGAATTGCCTCTAAGATGACAATAGATTCACCTGCGAAAACTGATGATTCAGGTGGGCACTTAAAATTTAATATTATTCTATATTTAGGGATCCAAACTGCAGAAACTACACAATCTTTGTTAGAAGTCTGAGGCATCTGTGTACATAATGATCCAATCTTGCCAATTTTCTGAGATGATTTTCTTTAATTTACTGTTAGGAGCAATGGTTTTCTTGTCAAGTCCAAAGTCAAGGATAACGTTTGGATTAAAAACTAGTGCTTCGTAGGGAGTGGAGAAGAGTAAGTTGATGCTATTTTGGAAGATTGGAGATTGAATGTTTACAAACTTTATATAGCTTTTTAAAAGACATGGTATATATTTATGTCGCCAGTATGGAGAAATTGAAATTTGTTGGTGAAGTGAGTGTAGTATATGGAACAGCGGATGGTTATGAAGAAAACATTTTTTGAACCAGAATTTGTCTGATAGGTACTGCCTGCGAAGAAAGAGGACCCTCACAACACTCGACCTGGAGAGCGTTAGTGGGGGTAGATTTCATTCCTCCTGTGATAATGCAAAGGCATTTTGCTTGAATTTGATCCAAAGTTTTAAGCGCACTCTTATTGCATGGTTCCCACAAAAAGGAAGCATAGTCAAAATGGCTTCTTATCAAAGCATTATATAAAAGCTTTTGGGAGTAAGGATGAGAGCCCCACCAAGCTCCTGATAAAGCGCGAATGACGTTAAGATTTTTTTCGCATTTTGGAGGTATGTAGGATATGTGGGGAATTCCAGACAATTTGCTATCTAGCATAACACCGAGGAATTTCACATGGCTCACATTGGGAATCAATGAGTCTCCAATAGAGATTGACACTTCTGGGATGAGTCTTCGCCTCGAAAACACCACGATTTTACTTTTTGGGGGGGAGATGCATACACCATGTTCTGTGAGCCATTCTTGGAGGTAATATACCGCACGAGATAATCAAGAAGAGGCGTCAGGTAAAGAAAGGTCAGTAACAAAAAGAGCCAAATCGTCAGCATATTGGAGTATGTTGGACAGACAGTTTACGGATCTATCTAGATCGTGGGTATATAGGTTATACAGAAGGGGACTTAGAACAGAGCCTTGTGGAAGGCCTTTCCAGATGTATCTCCCTGGCATGCCATGCGCGTAGAGGGTAATTTCATGAAATTACC